GGGCTGCCGCGGGGATGTTGGCTTCCCGGGGGGGGTTCGAGTGGGTCCCTGTGCCTGCGTGTGCCTTTGAAGCAGAGCCGGGAGGTGAATTTTAGTCGTGTGGCAACCCACTCAGCCCAGCATCCGAGCCAGGGGGGGGTCGTGTTGCTCTCAGTGGTGCCCAGCACTGGTGACGTTACCGGAGCTAAACCCTGAGCCAAGTTTAAAATGAGAGTTTGTAAGATGATCTGGGGTCCTGGTTTATTAGCAGCATTCATTCTAATTTCAAAACCTTGTGGCGTTGCAAAATCAGGGTGATAACCAGTTGCATCTGATTTCTTTGTTGTAGCTTCTCACTGTCCTTAACATATTGTGACATTTGTCTTATTTCAGCAGTCTGTTTTGGAAGGAGAGGTTAAGGCAAATCTTAGGCTTAAAAGGAATTACTGTTGTAAAAAGGAAGGAAAAAAAGGTGTTTATATTCTTATATAACATACCTTTTCTGAAATCTGATACACCTCAAAGTAATATCTATTCAAATATAACTTTCCCAACATTGGGTTCTCCTTTTTTTCTTGTTCTGCTTAAGGTGGTGAATCTAGATGGCTTAATTTTGGGTCCGTAGCCATTTATAGCTGAATTTGGGATTTTCTGAAGCATGTGGAGGATCTCTAGCACGTGTTGGGTTTTCTCAGCCTCCCTCCTTGCACGTTTCTCCACGTCCCTACTCCACATTTTCTCACACAAGTCGCCTTTCTGAAACACCAGCAGGATTTCTTGTTGTCTGGAGTCATCTTCTTGATCTGCTCAGAACTTTAGCTTGCAAGAGAGACTGAAAAAAAGATGAGAAATAGAAACTGATGTACCTATAAATAGGAGTCATTAAACCACCAGTCAGCGTCTCCCTGAATGCTGCACTGTGACAGCTGAGACTCAGAACTGATTTCATCTCTCCTGCTCTTGAAGAGGTGATTAGAAATGCCCAATCACTGCATGGAAAAATGTATTGATTTTTCTCTTTTCTCTCTTCCATTTGGTAGGAGGGAGATCTGCTGGCAGTGTGTGACTTAGAAAACACAGGTCCTGCTGATCTTTTCTGGTCTATGCTAACGACCAGAAACAATTGTAGCAAGGTTGTATTTCCTACCATTAGTTTTCAACAAAAGGTTTCTTGCTTAGCTGATATCCCCTCAGTTTTGGCAACGAGACCCCCACTGTTGCACTGGCTGTTTTTCTGCCAGCATTTTCATCTCCCTGGCAGCTAAGAAAGGCCCTGGAAGGATCTGCTGCTACTGCTGCAAGGAGTATTCTGAGCATAGTGAGGACAGGCAGTTTAATTAGAGCGTGGGTTTCCATGTGCCTCTGTTCCCTTCTTGATTGTATTTATTGGTTGTGATGCCCTTCGCCTCTGCACCTGCTCAAAATAGAGGTTGGAGAAGGAAAGCAGAAAAGTCTCAAATGCATTCCATCCCTATAAAAGGAAGTGTAAGCCCAAGTCCTCTGGAGGGGTTGTGTTACTGGGGGTGCATCTGCAGCCCCCCCTTGGCTTCTGCTGGGCTTTGGGAAGTGATGTGGCCACCGTGGTTGAACAGCACACGTGTGATGGCAGCACTTCAAATGGAGTGATCTCCATCCCCGGCCCGGAACCGCTGGGGAGAGATCACTAACACCCCCATTTTTCTATTTGGGGTGCCTGACAAATGCATCTTCCCACTCAAAGCCAAAAATACAAAGATGATGGGGCAGGAGAACAAGTTAGAACAAAAGTTACATAAAGAGCAAGAAGTTCCTTTGGTCTCCCAGGTGTAGCTTTTCTTCTTCTCCTCTCTTACCTTTTGCCATCTGTGTTGGGAGTGTGTGTAGAGAGAGGGATGAGGGTTTAATTTTTCAACATCCCATCAGCTCTTTAACTTCTCCTTCAAGCAGAAGTTATTTGCAGTTCCTTCTGTTTGATGAAATTATCATTTTTCTGCTGTTTTATATCTTTTTGACAGTTTGTCTACAGTTACTTCCAGATGCGTTAGGGTTTAGGGTAAATTACAGAAAAAAATGATATTAATTAAAGTTTATGGAATGTCACCATGTAATAAATCTGTAGGGGAGCAGATTCCAATAATTTCTTCTTTGTAAGTTTAGACATTTTTGGATAGAACTCAAAAACTTGAAAGGTATCTCTTGAATCCCATGGGTTATAAACCCTTCAGAATGTTGCTGCACTTCTTGTTTCTTTGGTTGGTTTGCTTATTTTCTCCTAATGGAGGTAAAATTTTGGAGGTGGAAGTGTAGTAAATACATTATCAGCTTCTCCAAATACCCTGTCCTGTTCTGAAATACATTATTTAACATTCAATTCACCCCAGGTACCACTGCCTGTGAAAGTATCTCTTAAATCCCATGGGTATTGAAACAGCTTATAAACCCTTCAGAATGTTGCTGCACTTCTTGTTTCTTTGGTTGGTTTGCTTATTTTTTCCCTAATGGAGGTAAAATTTTGGAGGTGGAAGTGTAGTAAATACATTATCAGCTTCTCCAAATACCCTGTCCTGTTCTGAAATACATTATTTAACATTCAATTCACCCCAGGTACCACTGCCTGTGAAACTGCATCAAAACAGAACTTTTCCCCTTTGAGTAGACATTAGATAAATGTAGGATTATTTATTAGTCCATTCATATTTGCTATAATAACTTGGAAATATTTTAATACCTTTTTTCCTGACCTGTGTTGCATAGGTTTGATTTTTGTTGTTCAGTTAAAGATAGGGATAGTATTAACTGGAGTGTCCTGTGCAAGCACAGTGTTCATACCTAAAAAAAAAGGCAAGATTAACAAGAATAATTTACTTCTGAAATGGAATTAGTACCTGAGTAATGCTAATACTCATGCAAATCACTTGCTAGAGGTTTGGATATTCTAGAATCTCAGAAACTCTCCAGACTGTTTACATGAGAATCCCATTTCTGAAGAGGATAGGCTGGGTCAGACCTGAGTGGGAATATTGTTGGCTTTTCAGTACAGAAGGAATCACTGGAACAATGGAATTAATAACCCTAAATTTAGACCTGCACTCACAGATTTTGCTGGTTTAGCAATTTGGCATGAAATGCTGACTGTGTTGGGAGTGATCTGGAATGCTCTTCAATTTGGGGTTAGATATAGCACTTTTCTGTCTGTAATCAGATTGCTTGCAGAACCTTTTGCCTTGATGTCTTGCTTTACTTTGGAGAAACCAAGAACTTGGTGTACAAAGCAGAGCAGCCCGTGTCCTTTCTGCAGGTATCCATGGGAATTTTCACTTGTGCCCTGCACAGTGACTGATTTATGGCAATAAATAAATAAAAAAAGGCAATCTTTTAATTGCCAAATACAAATCAAAGCCACTGAACCCATTCTTAGTTGCTGTGTTCATCTCTCTGTCCCTGGGCTGGATGGTGATCAGTTTGTTTGGTTTTTTTTTAAATTTATCTTCTAAAATTATGCCTCACTAAAAACTCCTTTCATCCAGCACGCCCAGCTGTAGTTGAGCACTGTGAGAGTGCAATAAAACCCCTAAATAAGATAAAAGGCAGATGTGTTAACAACTGAAGGGCTGAGAATAAGGCTGTCGGTGCCATAGGTCGGGACACAACTCCTGGGCTGGAGCCCATATACAGCTCTCCTTTGGCAGGGCACTATATTAGTCACTCAGCAGGCTGATTGTGGGTGGCAAATATCAATATGAGATTCCTCAGGGTTTGTATTTAAGTGGGATATATTCAGACCAGAGAAATCTGTCAGGGTAGGTAGAAGACAGAGCAGTGCTCTTGTGACCAGCAGCACTCAGCACCACGGTCCCTTGAAGGAGGTGGAAGACTGGGAGACTGAACAGCTTGTCTTCAAGTGAAGTTCCTTCCTGACCCCTGTGCCCTAAAGCATGAGGTTTTGTTACATTTTTAACCTTTAAAATGTCAACTGTCACTTTGGATGTTTTGGGTTATTTTTAGGTGTTTTTCCTGATTGTCTTTCAGTTTCTTTGTGTGTCCAGGAAGACACCTGGAGGAAGGAAAATAGATGACTTGTGGTCTCTCTTTACCTTTGGTGTTTTAATCCAAGCAGTTGAGTATGTATAGGTGTAGCTCTTTGACTTATAAAGCACCTCTTATCAAAGAAAAAGGAGATGAATAATTTATACTTTCTGCTAAGGTAGAGGTTCTTATTAATTTAGGAACAAATTTCAGTATTTCCTGGTTTTGAAGCTTTTGGGTTGTTCTGTTTAGTCTTATTGTCTAAGTTAACTCTGAAAACCAGAAGATCTTCTGTTTGTTTATTAACATTCTTCATTTTTAACCTCTTACAGATGGTTTCATCCAAATATTACTGGAGTGGAGGCAGAAAACTTACTGTTAACAAGAGGAGTGGATGGCAGCTTTTTGGCACGGCCCAGCAAAAGTAACCCAGGAGACTTTACACTCTCTGTCAGGTGAGTTGCAATGTTCTTGGTCTTTCTCCCCCAGTTGATAAGGGTCTTCATTTGCTGCTGCTCTGTGAGGAAGGAGCTGTAAATGAACTACTTGTAAGAGATGGATCAATTTTTAGTCTGGTCACTTTTTCTCCTCTTTTCCCTGAAGAGGTTCTCAAGTCCTTGACACAACTTGGGGAAATGGTAGGTTGGAGGGTAGTGAATTCAGATTCTGCAGAGAGACAGAAAAGTGAAGGGGAAGCAGAAGGAAATTCATAACAGCATTACTTTTAGCCCTTTAAAAATCTATTTGATAACCATCTGGAAGTGGCAGAGTTCATATGAATTACTGGATGGATCACTTTTTAGTCTGGTCACTTTTTCTCCTGTTTTCCCTGAAGAGGTTCTCAAATCCTTGGGGAAATGGTAGGTTGGAGGGTAGTGAATTCAGATTCTGCAGAGAGACAGAAAAGTGAAGGGGAAGCAGAAGGAAATTCATAACAGCATTACTTTTAGCCCTTTAAAAATCTATTTGATAACCATCTGGAAGTGGCAGAGTTCATATGAATTACTGATCAAGCCTGTGCAAGGAAATGCTGTCTGGAGTCTCTTACAGGAAAAGTCAGCAAGTTTTTAAAGGCAGCTTCAGTGCTGTTTCAGTTTCCAAAATAGGGCCTTTGTAACACTTGTCTCCTGATGCTGTGTGTGTAGTGGTAGGGATGGAGAAAGGGCAGCAGGAGGAAGTAGATAAAGGAAAAAGGAAAAGTGGGATTGGTGATAAGAATAATGCTGCTTGGATAGCTTTGAGATAATGGGACTTTTGGAACAGAAGGGGGTTTTCAGAGAGCTGTTCTTCAATGTGAGAGGCTGTGGGAGCAAATGATTTGCATCAGGGAAAGGCAGCTGTTTACTGAAGCAGAGATCTTAGCACTTCGTGTGAAATTCCAGGGAAAGCAGCAGACAAGCTCTGATGTGTGTGTCTTCAGACTGCTGAATTCTTCTTGCCTCTCCAGCCTCTGTGCTGGTGTGTGCAGTTCTTGGGGGTCTGAGGGGTGCCTTTTGGAGGTTGTGAGGACTCAGAGTTGATGCTGGCTTCAAGAATCCCTTCCTTTGTAGAATGAAGGGTTTGGTTTTTTTCCCCTGTTCTTCCTGACTGTTGGACAGCCACTTCCCCTTCTTTCAAGCCACTGGAATGTGTCTGAAGCACACTTCAGAGGTGCACTAGCTTAGCTGTTCTGCAGTATTTCAGTTGGAAAGTGATGCAAATGTGAGTATAGATTTCTCTAACCCGGACAACAGAACACTGAATATGAAAGTGATTGATTTGAAGTCAGCTGACTTGTGTGGGTTTTTTCCTTTGTTTCAAATACCAGACGAACTGGAGCTGTCACCCACATCAAGATCCAGAACACAGGAGACTACTATGACCTCTATGGAGGAGAGAAGTTTGCTACCTTAGCTGAGTTAGTCCAGTATTATATGGAACATCATGGACAGCTCAAGGAAAAGAATGGAGATGTTATAGAGCTGAAATATCCTCTGAACTGTGCTGATCCTACATCTGAAAGGTCAGAGAATGGGGGGTGAAATCCTGTGTCTGTGCAGTTCTTCAGAAATGCCTGTGTTTATCCCTGTGAATGCTGCAGGCAGCCTCCATCTGATGAAAGGGTGGCCACTGTTGTGCTAAAAGTGGTCCCACTGAGTTCAGTGAGGTTGCTTGCAAAGCAGACTAATAAACACGACTGAAGGTGAAACAATCTAAGCCTCAGAACTTGTTTTCTTCCACATTCTTCCTGCTGTGATACAATACTGAAAAAGAGAGCATGCTTCTCTTTCTTTTTACTGGGAGGATGTTTTCTTATGGAAGTTCTCCCAAAGCTTCCTGAAGCTGTTATTACTGCAAGGAATTCCCAGGTATATTTCTGGGCATAACTTCATACAGTTTTTCCAGCAGTGGGTGTATGTGTAAGAAAGTGAATGACCTGCAAATCCTCAAGTTGCTTAAACTCCTATTTTGGAGGAGCATGGCTAATAAAGAAAATTTGAGACTTTAGATGACATATCCTGAACAAAAGTATATATGTCTGAAATAAACATCTATGGCCACTAGACAGCAGTTTATCTTGGAAAGTGAAAAAACAAAGAAAAATATTAAAACAAGTTCTCTGACTCCTCAGAATGGCTTGTATTTAACTGTAGTGGGGAGGATTACTGCCTTTTTATCCATGTTTCTTGAAGAAAAGTGAATAGGAGAATAAATGCCTTGACTGAGGAGGAGCTTGCAGTGTAAGCTCCTGTTTACTGGACACCAGGGAATCCATTTGGATTGTTGTAAAAAAAATCCACATCAAAGCTTCATTTAAAGCTTGGGTGAAATGAAAATTTCAGTGCTTATGGAAGTGCTTGCTCTGAAAATCTTCTGTAATTACTTGTGTGTACATACACATACTCCCAAGGGTTATTATATTTTTTATTTTTATAAACTGTGAGGCTTTCTGTAGATGTGGACACTGAGTGTGCAGTGTAAGCATGTTACTTTTATTATAAATATTTAGTATAAGCTGATTCAGCTGTGGCTAGAATGACAAGTAGGGTACCTGTCTATGTCTTACTTTATTTAAAGGTGGTTTCATGGGCATCTCTCTGGAAGAGAAGCTGAAAAACTCTTAACAGAGAAAGGAAAACATGGAAGCTTTCTTGTGCGTGAGAGTCAGAGCCACCCTGGGGACTTTGTCCTCTCTGTCCGGACAGGAGATGATAAAGGAGAGAGTAATGATGGGAAATCTAAAGTGACACATGTCATGATTCACTGTCAGGTATGATGAAGCACGAGCTGCTTTCACAGGCTCCTTCCCTGGGCAGTGGGTTTAGCTTAAGAGGAGGGTCATCTCCCACTTCCCCCTTCCCCCGTGGTGCTGGGTGTGCTGCACAGCATCTGTTGGAGCAAACTGGCCAGTTTGGGAGCATCCAGATTCTATTAGTGTGTTGGGGTTTGGGTTGTGTTTGTTTGGGGTTTTTTTTGACAGCTTGTCTGGCTGAATCATGTCATATTATACCATGCTGTCAAGTATCTAATGGTAGATTTAGTTTTGGTTGCATCAGAAGTCTGTCTCAGGTCCTCTGCTGATGGAGCCTTTCAGGTTCATGAATCTTCTTAAGTGAGTTGCAGTCTCCTGGATGAATTATATCAGAATATGAATAACTGGACAAAGAGAGATCTATCTGACTGTTTCTCTTGTCAGTTTATAAAGTTGCACCTGATAGATGATCAGCATTCTTTGAAAAGTCTCAGTTATTGAATCCAAGGAACACTTTTAAGTCTAAAACTTGAATTTAATATAACAATTTTATTCTGTTAGCTCCTCACAGGAGTATTACTAAGTGATAGACTTTTGGTATTTTCATATATGCCCATATTTGGGTTGCTATTTAAAAGGAAAATATTGCAGATTTTGTAATTTTTCTTCTGTTATCCTAAAAGCCAGTGCAACAAGTTAATTGTTTAAAAACCACTAAAATGCAGTAGCAGAAATGGTTTGGGGATAGACCTGACTCTACCAAGACCAAAAAAAAGCTTGACTACCAGAATTATTTTACTTCTTCCCAAGAAAACCTCATGGATTTACAGTTCACTACTGGCAGCATTTATGACATTGAGGAAAAAAAACTCAGCAGGGCTTCCTTTAAAATAGGGACAATGCCTTTTTCAGGACCCAGCAATACCCCTGTAGGAATTTGGATTGATTTCCAAAGCTACCTCCTGGATTCCACACATGTTGCACACTGTAAAGGTGATATTAGTGTAGACACCATGGTTTGAATTGCACTTATTTTGATGAGCTTCTCTCTTTCAAGGATCTCAAATACGATGTTGGTGGAGGGGAGAAATTTGACTCTCTGACAGATCTAGTGGAACATTACAAGAAGAACCCTATGGTAGAAACTTTGGGCACAGTGTTGCAGCTCAAGCAGGTGAGTGAAGGGAGGAGACACCACGAAGCTGGGTTACCTTCAGCAGTTGTTCAAGTACAGGCTTTTCCATGTGTCTTCTGTGAGACATCATGGGGTTTTTTTTCTTTCCTAGTGCAGAAATGAAGAATTAAACTTTGTGAAACTGGGTGACAAAGTCAGTAATTTAAATGGGAACAGTTTATGTGCCTGTGAAGGATGAGACTTTAATCTAAGAACATCTATTCCCTGCCCATTTGCTCTCTACCCTCACTGCCCTTCGTTGTATGAGTTGAAAAGTTTTGAAGTCCAGATAGAGGCCTGGGCTTTAGAATTTCCTGCATGAAATATACTTAGTGGAGGGGTCTGGTGTTTAAACTCTCTTCTCACTGTTGGAATTTGGTTTTATTTTTCTCAGCCTCTGAATACCACCCGCATTAATGCTGCAGAGATTGAGAGCAGAGTGCGAGAGCTGAGCAAGCTGGCAGAGACCACAGATAAAGTCAAGCAGGGCTTCTGGGAAGAATTTGAGGTACTTCATTACATTCCTAGTGTTCTGATGTTTAATCTCTACACTACCAAAAAGTTAGGTTTGTTGCTGCTTTGCCAATATCTTCTCAGCTCCCTTTCCCTTGCTTCAGATCCCTCTCCTTGATTCCATCTCTCCGTCAGGTACAGCACGTGTTAACATTTTGCCAGTTCCACTCTTCTGTCTGCTAGTAAAATGATTTAAATACTTGCTTTTTTCCTAATTCTGAGAGCTGATGATGTTCCTCAGTGCTGTTCATTCACTACCTAGCACAGTCCTTCCTGAATATCCTCCCCAGCCTGAGGGAGCCTTATGTATGATTGTGTCTGGCCCATCGGGACAATAAATGAGATTAATTCCTGGGTTCCTTTTCTTCATGGGGACAGGAAGAGGTCTGTAGGCTGGATTAGTATTTTTGGAGGCAAAGGACTCATTCCTAACCTACATTGCTCCTGGTGTCCCCAGTACCAGTGCAGCTGGAATGTGTCAGGCAGAAAATTGCACCGTGGTTTCTATTGCACGTCTCAGTGCAGAGCTTGTTTCAGTTTGTGCTCTGCTGTGTTTGGGAGGATGGTACCATTGCTTTAAGGATCCTTCAGTAGGATTTCTCAGTCAATATGTGCTCGTACCCTTGAGCTTGTGGCTTTTTGATAGCCTTTTATTGATACCTCTTCAGAGCTGAAGCAGCATTGGCTACATGTATTCCTTGGACTCCTAGGGACTTAGTGTTTTCTTGTTTGGGTGTTTCATTTCTGCCTGTGGCCAGGATTCTGTTTCCTTCCCAGAAAGCAGTGTTGCCTTTCCTTCTGTCTTATCTGCTCACTTCTCATGTATCACACCTCTGCTGGCCCAGCTCTCCCCTTGAAATCATGATGGTTTTAGGGAGCTTCTTGTGTTTGAAAGAAAACACAGCTTAGCTGTTAATTTCTCAAGTAGAGCAAATGAAGTAGGAACATTTCAAACTACCTGAGCCTAGCCTGGGCCCTGACCCTTCTCTGGAAGTCCCTTAAAAGCTGGTTTTGGTCATAGCCAAGTGTCTTAAACACAGTGGCCTGGTTTATACCACGCACACCCAAAACCACAGTGGAGTCTGGAACTCCACCAGCAGATGGCAACAGGAAACTGGGAAGTCCTGGTCTTTGGCAGAGGCTGGTTTTGGCTGCCTAACACTATTTTGGGAAAATTCTTGAATAGTGATGGATTTACAAAGCAACCATTCTTGAAGAAACTGGTTTTTGATGAGATGTATTAATTAGCTGAATGTGCTGCCCAGTCTGCTCTGAGATTACTGTCAGGAGGGGAAAAACAAATCCATGAAAAGCAGAAGACTCTTACCAAAGAGGTGACACATTTCACTATGAATGGACTATAAGAAGGGGAGGTCATGGCAGTGGAGGAATTGTAAAATGAGGATTAAGCTCTTTCCTATCTGTTCTGCTGTGCCCAGTGCAGGGGGATAGTCCTTGACTTAGCACTGCTGGGTGGTCAGAATCCCACCTAGAGGAGAGCAAGCCAGAAGAGTCCACTCTGGGCAGTGCTGAGGACCTGGGACTCTCTTGTCCCCAGCACTGGAGTGGCAGATCCCTGGGGAGCACTTCTCACTTATTGCTAGTGAACCTTGCCCAGAGGCAAACTGGCCTCAGCCTTCTCTTGCAGAGTTCAACAGGTGAACTGTGTTCTGAGGTCTGGAGGGTGAGGAGGCTCAGTGGAGGACCAGCCACACCTGCTGGAGTGCCTAAACCTTGCCAACAGGAATGAACTGCCTTTCCCAGACTGATTACTGGTCGTGACACTGTCATAGAGTTTTTGCCTGGATGTCTGAGTGGTTTTGTCTGAGTGGCTTAGCCTGAGTGTAGATTTGCAAGTCAGCCAGGCAGAGGTTGTCTGTTGGCTTCCCTGGAGAGACTACACATACTTTACTCTTACTAGGAAGGCATAAAGAGGAAAAAGTTTGTCCTCTTGGCTTCCTTTCTTGTCACTGATGTGAAGCCACATGCATTAGCATTATTTTCTTTCTTTCTGAGGGAAGCATTCTTGTGCAGGGTGTTTAGGAATGGATTGTTGATTTGTCAGGTTATGACTGAACTATTGACACTTTTCTGAACTCTGGTCTTTGTTGAATAAAT